CTATTGTTTTGCTGATTTTTATTTCTGTTCTGCTTGTTTTAGCATTAACTATTCAGTTTCAGCTCTTTCAACAGATTTCAGTCATACAGCTTTTTTAATTTTATTTATTAATTTATCTATTGCATAAAATAAAAAAAAATTCTCTTCATTTTATTTTCATTATTTCCTCAGAAGGGTCTGAGTTTCTCGGCTCTGTTCATCTGTACGGTTTCTTACTGCATCAGCTGAAAACCCCTCTGCCTTCTGAGAGATAATTCTCTCTTTCATCAACAGCTAACAAATGATTCATCTGAGCTGAGATTAATCTGCTTCTAATTTCAAAAGCTACTCTTATGTTGTTGAAGCACCCCCCCACACACACACACACCCAGAGGACAAAAATGTAGATCTAAACATTATACTTTCACATAAACGTTTCACCTTGTTGCACCTATTTGTACATTAACGCCTGCAGGTGCTGAATAATACACACGGACAGCCTCCCAACTGTTCCCCATGATTCCCTCAGACTTCTGTGACATGCCCTGCAGCTACGAGGCGAGCTGGAGCTTGATTCCAATAAAATAATAATGAAGTTTGTCGGACACAGTTCAGGGCTGGACACGGCACCGTTCTTTTGTCCCTGAAGCAGGAGAACCCCACACAGGTGCAGCTCTTTATGCATCTCTCCCTTTTCCCTCTCGAGGATTCTGCTGCTTCTCTGCTAAAAGCACAGCGCATTAACTAAAAGCTTCATTAAATWTAAATGGCTGATATCAACTAAAAATATGAACAAAGTGAGGTGGCGTATAACTCCTTAAACTGCTCAATGATTTACAGTGCATTTGTGGCAGGAAAAATGGAAGAGAGAAGCATTTAGCTTGCTTTTAGGGTGCTTATTATGAGGCTGCGAGGGTCCGTGGAGGGAGCTGGCATTTCACCCACAGGAGCATTAAGTGTGTTATTGCTAAAGGTGAACGGGCTGCTCTTCAAACTAATAAAAAAGCATTTCACCTGAGGAAGACAGGAAGCATTCTGTGGTCTTGTTCTCAGGATAATTCAGAGATGTTTGTTGGGTTTTTGCAMGATTAAAACAGGAATTCTGTTTGATTGTCCAGTGTTTTCTTGTTTTATATCAGTTTATAAAAACACTCAAACTGTAGATTACAGGACTAACATACAGAGTGTGTAGAAAAAACTTCACCTGGATAAATTAAATTAAATTAAATTAATTTAAATACACTTTTAAAAACATGGATGGATGGATGTACAGATGGATGGATGGATGTGCAGATGGATGTACAGATGGATAGATGGATGGATGTATGGATGGATCATTGGTTGGATGGATGGATGGTTGGATGGATGGCTGTACAGATGGATGGATGGATCGATGGATGGATGGATGGATGTACAGATGGATGGACAGATGGATGGATGGACAGATGGATGGATGTATGGAGGGACAGCTGAATGGATGGATGGATGGATGGACAGATGGATGGATGGACAGATGGATGGATGTATGGATGGATGTACAGATGGATGGATG